GAGCCTGGGGCCTAGCGGTATGTTGGAGCAGAAGGCGATCGAACCTGATGCCAGCCCTCGGCAGAATAGAGGTCATTCTGGAGGGACCAGATGGCCACATACAAATTGTGAAGGAGGGGAAGACTCCAGGGAGAGCCTCTCCATACAAAAAGCTCCTCTGCCGATAGGATCCACGAGTAGAATCAAGCCCACCGTCGTCGCAGCAGCGGATGGGAAAAAGCCGCTGAAAAGCACGACGAAGGGAGGCAAAGATACGACTCGTGGATATGACCCTGAGGATGAGACCAGGTGGTGGTTGCGGGTAGACATAGGTGACTTTAAAATTAGAGCACTCTATGATACCGGCGCCTCATCCACGGTCATGGGTCAATTAGGGCTGAGATTGGCATCGGAGATAGGACTCGGATTGAATGTGACCAGAGCGGGCGATGCAAGGCTCGCTGATGGGCGCCCATGCCCTATAATTGGTCACGTGATGTTACCCTTCAAAGTAGGAGGAATCACGAAGGAAATCAGAGTCGCCATTACGCCACTGCTCACGGACGACTGCTACGTAGGCGCGAACTTTATAAGAGAGTTCTGCGCAGTTTTGGATCCCGACGAGGATGAATTATGGCTTAAGGACACCCAGGTGAAAGTACCAATGGAAGTGGCTGGAATTGATGGTACGGCATTTCTCGCACCGGTAGGACTGTGGGAGGCCACGGAGACACAGCTGGAGGAAATAGAAGACCTCGTTAATGGATTGATTCCTGACGGAGGTCAGGCTTTAGGCTGTGCCGTGGGGGTGGAGCATGAAATAGATGTTGGAAATGCTCGACCCATCAAACAGAAATACTACCCAGTCTCTGATAGAGTGCGAGAGCAAATGCACGTGCTGGTCAAAGATATGCTGGAAAAAGATGTAACCGAACCAGCGACTAGCGGATGGTCAAGTCCAATATTAATGGTAAAGAAGACTGATGGAAAATATAGGTTTTGCGTGAATTATCAAAAGGTAAATGCGATTACCAAACCTGATGCCTACCCTTTACCATATATGAACGACATCCTAAGACGGATAAGGGATGCAAAGTTCATATCTACTCTGGACTTGAGCAGTGCGTACCATCAAATTCCCCTAAAGGAAGAATCGTGTCCGATATCAGCGTTTACAGTACCTGGATTAGGGCACTTTCAATTCAAGAGGATGCCCTTCGGACTGTCATACGCAGGAGCGACATTCCAGATAAGAAGTGACATCCATTCGCTTTTGCTTACCTTGACGACGTGATTGTGGTTTCGTCGTCCGTTGAGGAGCACAAGTGGCACCTAGAAATGGTATTAAAGAGAATTCTAGGTGCGGGCCTAACCATCAACAAAGCCAAAAGTCACTTCTGCAAGTCAGAAGTAAGGTACTTGTGAGTTCTTGTAAACCAGGACGGAGTAAGACCAGATCCAGAGAAGATACGACCGATATTGGAATATCTAACACCCCGGACTGTCAAACAGGTGAAGCGATTCATAGGAATGACCTCGTGGTATAGACGTTTTACACCCGACTTTGCCATGATCATTGAACCTATAAACCGCCTGACAAAGAAGAATATACGTTTCTCTTGGGAGGAGGAGCAAGAGCGAGCTTTCACGAGGTTGCAGGAGGCGATGACTTCCGCCCCAATACTGCAATCTCCCGATCCTAACGGTCAGTTTATACTGCAAACTGATGCCAGTGACAGTGGGATCGGCGTAGTCCTCACGCAAGATGTCGATGGAGAAGAGCGTGTGATAGAATACGCCAGCCGATCACTCAACAGCGCTGAGAGAAATTATACGGTCTCCGAAAAAGAGTGCTTGACAGTGGTATGGGCTACTAAAAAGTTCCGGCCGTACATTGAAGGGCACCACTTCAGGGTAATCACTGATCATAGTTGCCTGAAATGGCTCCACAATATGAGAAATCCCACGGGAAGACTAGCGCGATGGGCGCTAGCATTGCAAGGCAATGTCTTAGTCTTTGTAGACTTGTTTACTCGTTGGGTAGAGTGTGTTGCAATACGCAAAGCCAATGCGAAGGCAATCGCAAGGGAATTACACGAGAGAATTGTCACTAGGTTTGGCGCGTCTGATGTATTCTTGTCGGATAATGGAACCGAAGTCAAGTATCAGGAAGTCGATTCATATCTCCAGACGAACGGCATCCAGCGCGCCTTAACTCCCGTGTATCATCCCCAAGCGAATCCCACAGAGCGAGTAAACAGGACACTCACAACCATGATCACGTCTTACGTAAGCCGTGATCATAAGAGCTGGGATGAAAACCTGTCAGAGTTCAACTTCGCGTTGAATACGGCAACTCATAGCGCCACGGGATATAGCCGTTACAATATATAAAATTTCACTTACAGAAATTAGCGGTGTATTTCGTGACTTAAAATTTACTGGTATTGTAATTTGTTATTTCCAAAGGTATTTCCATAAAGTATTTCCAAAGAGATTTAGTGCCCTGAATCCGAATCTGAGCTTAGTACTCCATCGCCCTCAGTTTTCAAGATATTCTAACTTAAAAGCATCAAAAATATGTTTTTTGCTGTTTTTGAACCATTGTAGCTTTATCAAAAAATGTTTTTTTACAATTTTGATGATGTTATCTTAAAGAACAACTCTTGCCCTTCAAAACGTACTGCTCTTTTTTTTCAATATCATTTTTTCCGATAAAGGTATCACACATTAAAGTATAATAAATTTGTATTTTCGCAAATGTTATTTAAGCGAGGAAAGTTTCGCTGAAAAATTAAAGATACCGGGTTCGGGTTAAGAAACTAAGAATAGAGCGACCGGGGGTAATTGTAGGATACCGAGTTCTTTAGTTAACCTTTAGAAGTCCGAAAAACTTCTAAAGGCGTAAAAAATCAAATATTTATTCATATTTTAACAATGGTAACTAATCTCTTATTTATGGTGAATCTTTTTTAGTATGATAAGCATAGAATCACTCATAAAAAAAAGAATAATATCAAAATAAATATATTCGACCGGATAAAAGCTAAATAAACCTAAAAATTTTCTAAAAATGCAATGGAATATAATTTTGAAAATTTGAAAAATTTAACATTTGGCCTTATCACACGAACCGAGATATGCAATTAAGCGTAAGAGGTCTGACCTGTCAACACCAAACTTAGTTGGACACCAACTTATGAACCTTGAACCACATTTCCATAGAAAATTGCAATTTACAAATTTTTTAAAACCTCGAACCTCTGAAGGTTAAGAAATTTAGGATGTAGCAGTCAAGGGTTATTACATAGCACGGTACACGGTTCTTTGGTTAAGGTACTTGGGACATTATTTTATTTTTTAGCCAAAATTATCTTTACGCGAAATTTTCCTCTGATTAAACGATATTTGCGATAATGCAAATTTATCATACTTCAATATGTCATATCTCTGTCGAAATAATTGAAGAAAATAAGAAGTGTGTTTTGCAGGGTAGGAGTTGATTTTGAAGATACCGTCGTCAAATTTGCAAAAAAATATTTTTACAAAGATACAGAGATTGCAAAACAGCAAAAAAATGCGTTTTTAATATTTATAAGTTAGGATATCTTAAAAACTGAGGATGATAGAACAATGCTTTACTGATTGTGAGATTTGGATTCAGCGACCAAACCTCTTCGGAAACACTTGATCAAGTCTCTGGGTCTGAGAAGTATCGACCTGTGTTATTGTTTTTGAGAGTATTATGTCTTGTATCTAAACAGTTCGATCGTTGGATTTCATTCAATTAATATCCTATTTTATTAAAATAAAAATGAAAAACGTATTACGTCTGTTACCCTCTCATATTAATAAAATTGATTATTACCACAACTTCTGTTTTATTTTATTTTGTTCTTAGGTTTACAAATTTATTTTTCAAAAAATTATGTGGGCAAAATACGGACAAATCATCCATCTAACATGCCGAAAGTAATTGCTTGAGAATTAACCTGTATTTTTTACTCGGCTGATGGATTTATTCCCTCATTAACTAACAACTAACTATACTTTTTGCTTTCGATATACAATAAACTGTTGTATGAACCACTTCTAGAATGATAAACAATTTTTCAGAATTAAATCAATGTTTTCAAGAACTTACAATTTTAATTATTTATTGGGATTAACTGCAATGTTATACGATAAAGATGATTTGATTATAAATTTAAAAATTACATATAAAATGCAACAAAACATAGATATTTAGTTTACGATGAAATATAACCAAAGATGTCAAAAAGGTATAAACAAGTTTATAAACGGTTGAGCATAAAAAATGCAATAATGGTGGCATAGAATGGAACTAAGAAGAGGCACATATGTACAATGACCAAAAGTAACTGCACACCTGGAAAAACTTTGCAGGATCGTATTTTCCGAAAAAATTGTCCAAACAATACTTGTAAGGTTGGGTTTGGTTTGGTCCAAAAATATAATCGATGATCTTAACTCTGACCGGAAGGTCATTTCATGGGCAATTTTTTTTAAATGGTAACCTTTATTTTTTATATCGAAAATGAAATGAGACGGAAATATTACTTTCAGATATGTACTTGACCTTGGGAAAATCATATCTCGCTCTTTTCATTTACGAAATAAAAAATAGAGGTTTCCATTATAAAAAAGTTATACTTGAAATTACATTCAAAAATGACCTTGTGGTCGAAGTTAAGGTCATCGATTATTTCTTTGAACTAAACTCTACAACTATTATTTTAACACTGTGCTCAAAAAAGTGATCCTGGAAAGTTTTTCCAGGTGTACAGTTTTTTTGGTACAGCCTGTATACTGATAGAAGCATGTAGAGCGTTGCTAATATACTCGGTTTAAATAAAATTGACAAGCATTAAAAAGAAGTATGAAACTCCATTGTTTGTCTATTTTATTGAAATTAAATATATCAACAGTACACGTGATTTCTCATTATTTTGCTCTCAGTCAATCCATTTCATCTAAAAAAATATAAGTCAAATACTTACCCACACATAAACGTCCAATAATACGACAACCAGCAATAGAAGTATGGATAACTGGCACCGTGTCTGTTAATTCTGCTTCAAAGACACTGTAAAGAAAATTAAGCTTTTATATTTTGAAAATATTTTCAAACCAAACAAATTTTTATAAAACAGTAACTGACACATAAATCTATCACTTATCAATAATAATAGTTTATGTTTAGTTCAGAATATTATAGTTCTCCACTTTCAATCATGAAGTGGCTTGCATTTTGTTGGAATATTCTTTATCTTCTATACTAAAATAAGCTAATATATTTTTCTGCATAGAAAAATATAGCAGCGCGTTACGGTACCAGCGTTGTGGTGGTGACATTTTTTTCCATATAATAGTGTTTCCGTTCGCGACTTACAGTGACGATGCAATATATTGTCAATCTAATTTACGCTGAATCGTAAGCCACGTACCGAAGCTTAGAGCAAGCTTTTTGTCAGACCGTGAAATAAAGTCACCTCTCTCCAAATGTATGCCACCTGTAAGAACCATAAAAGCCATCACAAATATACGGAGTGATCTGACACTCAAGACTGAACTCTCAGAACTTGATCCACGACTGGATTCAAGTCTCAAGTGCCACTCTAGTTTCTAATCGCGATCGGACTATCATTTAGCATGAATAATCTTATTTATACTCATTATTTATATAAAAAAATATTCTCTTACACAGATCATAAAGACATTATAGCAATAGGTAAAACATGGCAAGAAATTGAAGACAAAATGAATAACCAATCAAAAGTCCCAGCTTACATTAAACAGATTATCACTTAATATAAATAAAACAGCCCATATAGAATTTGGTAATAACTATATCAGTACGTCAAAAAATTTAAATATATCTATCTAAAATTAAAAAATTAGCAAAATTGATAACATAAAATATCTTGAAGATACTATTAATAACAATATGAGCTAGGATCAGTATCTACTCAGTCTATATAAAACAACGAAATACTTAATTTTTACCTCCTATGAATTATCAATAATAATGCAAATAAAATCAATGGAAGAATTAAACGAAATTATAGAAATGGCAAACAAATAAATCCAAACTATTAGGTCTTATATACATAAAATTTACAAAATCTACTCTCACTGCACTAGAATCTACTCCTCGTATAAATATTTGCAAATATAAACCAACTGAAACTCTGCTCGACAAAATAGATAGGATGTCAGCAGAAAACAGCATAAAAGCGTAAATGCAAAAACACAATTAGCCTCTAGGAAACCAATAAAGCTTTCAAACTGTTTTCGCATGACCTATGAGGACAGCGACTATATAAGAAATACCAAAACTCTACTATACTTTGATAAAGGTTCAAAAGAATAACAGATTTTTCACAGCACAGTTTATTTCTTAAAATCATAACCAAAGAATAACGATTTAATAATTTTGGATGACATAGTTTTCACTTCAGAATGTAAATTCAACTCGATACATCAACATTATGTTCTATGTTCCAATTATGTTCCTGTATTACAGGGTGTAATGTGGTACATTACAAGGCCTTTCCTGAGCGCTGCATTATTTGCAACATCTCAGAAAAGCCATTCCCTTCCCTTGCCGCCCCGTAACCGGTTGAATAAAATAAAAACAAACGCGCCCTATATAAAACGATTACTTTTTTTCATGCCCGAACAACCACATCGGAGATATCGGCGAAACAAACTCGACAAACGCGATCCGACGGACACTCAAAAGAGAAGAAAAAAAAAAAGGAGCGCACCACGAAATAAGAGAGCGCACGCACACACGCACTCCCGACCACGTGGCCGACCGGCAAAAAAAAACGGAAAAACTTGACTGGGAAATGCAACGGAAATGCATGTTGATGACACATGCAGATCCGTTACACTCCCAGACACCAACACCAACACTCACAAAGCACTGACACTCCTGGGGCGAACAGAAAATCGCCGATGAAGTGGCAGCCGGCAATCAGCTGTGTCGGGCTGCCGAACACCATCGGCGACATCCTGAGCGCCACACACAAGCACAACAGCGACCACACAAACACCCGGGAACACGTCACTTAACCGACACGGGAGCGCCCCAGGAGGCGCTCCAACAACCGATACAGGAACAAGAGACGTACGCGCGAGAGACCGAGCGGCCATTTTGAAACGCCGAGACAGACTGAGAGCGAGGGAGCGAGACAGAGCGAGCGAAGTAGACTAAACAAGAGCGAGCGAGACAGACTGAGACAGAGCGAGCAAAATAGACTAAACAAGAGCGAGCGAGACAGATGATATGAAATGATGAATAGAATAATATGCAAATGCGAGGATGAGGGCGCTACAAATGAAACGACGTATATTATATACGTATTCATGACAAATTAAAATTATAATTGAAAAAGAATGAACATGGAATAGATACCGAATTGTAAAATTCGCATGCGACCGACACCCCTATTATGATAGCGAGCGACAACTACCCCGTTAGGTTTAAGCAATAAATTAACCGACAGAATTCGAACCTCTGACGAAATTCGCTAGTGACGTCACGACCAATCAGCGAATCAGAATAAAATTTGATTTCCGTCCGGATAGAAAAATAGATAAGAGTAGGGGTAGATCTTTTCCGACAATTAATGATAGCTACTTTAGTGGGGGGTGAGAGAGAGTAAATAACGACGGAAGTAGGAGAGTTAAGGAGGGCGCTGTATCCTTCTAATTTACATACGGACCAATGATAAAATATTCGGAGGGCGCTACCGATATCCGAATTAGTATACCGACCAATAATAACATTTCTTCTCGGAAAGAGAAGAAAAGCGATCTTTGACCGCGAAAAGCCGATTCTCGTCCATTTTGCCACCGGTCTCCTAGCTAGAAGGAGTGATTAAGCCAGATAATTTCGTCACAGAGGACTAATTACGCAGACATTCTGTAATCTAAACGCAGCAATCTGAAATTAGCTAATTTCGTTCGCCGAAACAGTAAGGAAGAATCGTAAGTAGGCAAAGTGCCACTCACTTATATTAATCGCGGAGTACGGGAATAAAATTTTCAGTGCCGTAGGTCGTCGCGACGCGTGGATCCGTCGATACCGGTGCCTATCGAATCGCGCTGACCTTTCCGCCATTTCCTAGATCTAAAGTGAGTGTTAGGTTTATACGAATTAGAGGCAGTGGTTGAGTTATTCGCGCTGACCTTTCGCTAACAATTTATTGCGAACACAGAATTAGCCGAATACACTTACCGTGCTTATTTAATCGCGCTGACCTTTCCGCCATTTCCTAGATCTAAAGTGCGTGTTAGCTTTATACGAATTAGAGGCAGTGGTTGAGTTATTTGCGCTGACCTTTCGCTAACAATTTATTGCGAACACAGAATACGCGAGTACTCACCCGCTTGCCTCCCCTGCGCAGTCGCCGTGAAGGCGAACCGGGATACACGCAACGGAAACCCCATTTTGGCCCTACCTCCGACGATCGCCCTAATTAACCGGCGGTTAGGCGCCCTAAATAATCGGTGGTAGTGAGTCAAACAGGCCTTGTGGCGGAAGAAACTCGTAGCGCGGTTAAAACCCCCGAAATTCCCCGCCACAAGGGTAACATATGCCGTTGGTCTCATATACCCGACAAGATTCAGTTTAATAGAAAGGATCCCATACACTAGAAATAGTAAAACGTCAATGGTGTACTACAGTACAGCTAGATAACATCTCATAATTGCTGGTGAAGAAAGAAGATTGAAAGCATAAATTAAATTAATAAACTAAAGTGCAATTTTTTACTAACAGTTAATTTAGTTTTTAAATTATTTTAGTTTTTAAGGTAGTTGAACTGCGATGATCTCAAAATTTACATGAAGATCTGAAAATAAATGATTCTGATGATGAGAAAACATATATATCGGTCATTTTGCATAATATGACCATTACCATAGACAGAAATTTAAAAAAAAATTTTTAATTCACAAAGCTACTCAGATTATTTTGGATACAAAGTTCAACGACGGAGAAGACTGTAATGTCCGGTATAAAATTCCCCGGCATAAAATAATATTTTTTATTTTAATATCCTATATAAATATACTATATTTTAATATATCTCCACGTCTGCATTTATGTTTTTCTCAAATACGAAGTCTGTCCCAAAAGTATCCGACCTACCTCGATATCTCTGCGCTTGATTTAATCTTCGTCATTCGGGGGATGGCATCATTTAAAGTACTTGATGGAATTTGATTGAATAAGACGCTTATATTATTTTATCATATTAAAGCACTCTTGAAAATCAGACTTCAGAACCGAAGGCTGGCATTGCTGCGCAACACTGTGTTTCAATAAATATTACTGCACAAGGTCACAAGGTTTGATGCGTGCACTAAAGCATTGTCGCGATGAAAGAGCCAGTCACCGATTTCTTGAACTTGCAGTCGTTTTCTCCTAATTGCATCACGCAATCTTTTTAAAACTTAAGTGTAGTACTTTTTGTTGACTGTTTGGCCTATAGGCGCATATTCGTGATGTACAACGCCCTTATAGTCGGAAAAAATAATCAACATGGCTTGATGTTGCTTCGACTTTGACGGACTTTTTTTCGGCCGAAGCTCGGATGGAAGCTTCCATTGCGAAGATTTTTAAAGGCCTTTTGTAATATTTCAATAGTTTCCGCACCACTTTTACCAACATTAAAACAAAATTTTATGCAAACTCGCTATTCGGTTCGTTCTACCATTTTTAGCGATAAATATATTGCGACAAAAGCAAAAAAGTTGTAAATAAATACAAGCTGCACCGGAACTAAGGCGTTTCATCGGTATCTCGAACTACTGATGAGAAGGTTAGGAGTTGCTGGTGACGTTCGTATCTTCCAGAAATCGCCTGAGTCTCTCCGCGCCAAGATATGAACGTAAGTCGAATACTTTTGGGACAGACCACGTAAACTCTGAATTAGCTCGTCAATTTTCAGTAATATTTTTAGCTTTACGACCTCATACATATACGAGGGTGGTCCGATAAGTACTTAGCCTCACCACCCGATGACGCGACTCTCGCAAAAGAAATATTCTATCACGTAGTACAACCTTCTC